AACTAGCAACTAGTCAGGGAATGCACATTTTTACCTAGCAACCAGAAGCTGCCAGGGAGTCTCTAGGCTGGTGTAGCTGAAGCCTTAATAAGTTACAAAGAAGTGTGTTTGTGTGAGTCCTGTCACTGATTTATGTTAATGCAAGTTTACAAAACCTCTCAGTGACCAGTAGTCGTTTGATGAGGTCTTCTTGGACTGTGGTTGATCACTCTGCTAATTTTTTTTTGTTGTTGTCTTTTGTTTTATAGACTCAAATAACTGTTAAATAACTGTTAGTTAAATAACTGTTAGTTTCTTTCAGGCTTTAGATCCATCAAAGGTTGAACTCTTTTTATTTCAGTGTTTAAGAAATGTCCGGTGCAGAATCTGACGTGTCCTCGTGGTCTGCAAGAGGACGACTTCCTGGAGTTGCTGAGGTCCACCTTCCCTCAGCTGGGCTCTGAAGAACCTTTGGACTTTCTCATATCAAGCTCACACAAAAGGCTCCAGCTGTTGCAAATAGAGCCAAGAACTCCAGAGGCGATCTACAACGCCATCAATGCTGTTGGAAACTCGGCCCTCTACATTAGGCCAAAGGTAGGTTGAAGCAGTTATAGACAATTCATATGAGACATTTTGACACAACATTTACATTTGTTAGCACATGATTTCTGCTTTTCTGTAGAGCAGCAGCTTTCACAATCTGCTTTGCTCCTAGCTTGTCGATATTTTTGAGTCAGGTGATTTTCTAGCAAGGAAGTAACATTTGAAATATGGTTCTTACTGGCTTGTAAATGTCTGTAGTTGTGGGTTGACTAGAAGAAGAGAATTTTTGAAAAGACGGTTGAATTTAAAAAATCTAATCTAAACTTGTACTTTTGTTGTTTTTGCAAATAAATTTGTAAAAATAATTTGTGGAACTAACCCTTACAGACAGGGAAGGAGGAAGAGAAGACCCTTCACTCTTTACAGACAAATGTCGATCCACCGTCCAGTGATGCCGAGGCACTAAGAAGTGTTAAAGCTAAACTGCTTTCCAGGTAATTTAAAAAACTGATAAAACAACTGAAATTAAAGAGATTTGCTACTGATATTTTTTTTTTTTACAAAGGCTTTTACAAAAACATCTTCTGAAACAATAAAAAATTAAATGAACAGCATGAAAAAAAAATCAATTGTAGCCAGATGACACCATAACTTACTTGATTATTATGCTTAATTAGATTAATTCATATAAAGAAATGCATACGTCATTTTACTAACAGGAGTCAACTGAAAATTAAAGATGGCGAAATCTGAGAAAAGAAAATGGCTCTAGAATTCGCAATTTACAGTTTTACAGGTGGAAATTTTTCAGCAATTTAATTAATGTATTTAATTAATTAATTAAGATATATAAATCTAAGATCTAGTCTAATCTCCTAGTTTCCTAGTTTTGTGTTTTGTTTCCTGCTTTTAGTGTTCGTGTTTCACAGCAAATAAAGCTGCTGTTTTGAGTGTTAGACGTTAAATGTCTCAGTTTGTAAGGGATAATTCAGATGACCTTTATTGGATCCCAGTGATCTCTGGGGCCCTTAGACAATGTCAGTTAACACAATCCTCCGTGCCATCTGCAGATACTAGCTAAAGCTCCGTCATGCAAAAATAAGTCATATTTGAACATGGCCCAGAGGTGCCATCATGTCATGTGGGCCAAGAGTCATTCGAAGAAGTCCAAATTTAATATTATTGTTGGTGATCATGAACGTTGCGTCCGCCAGGGAGACCATCCATCGTGTTATCAGCGTTCAGTTCAAAAGCCAGCTTGTCTGATGGTAACGGGGTGTATAAGTGCAGACGGTATTGGCAGTGTGCTTGTTTTGGAACGATCTATGAAAGCTGAAAGGTATATAAAGGTTGTAGAGCAAGATATGCTTTCCTGGGAGGAAAACTCTTATCCTTTTTTTGTGCAAATTTTTGTTTTGCAACAACATGTACCTAAAGCCCATTATCAATATCAAGTGTTTTTCGAGATTGGATTACAGTGGTCCCTCACTATAATGCGTTTCATTTTCGCGGCCTCGCTGTTTCACAGATTTTTTGGGCGCAATTTTGCATGCTTTTTTTTTTCACAGTGCATTTTGTCCTATGTCCTGATCGACTGTAAACCATTGTCTCGTACCATGTCTCCAGTACAGTACAGGATGTGTTCAGCTTGTCAAATTTACATAAATCTTCGCTAGCAGAAGAAAGCAAACACAACAGTGTCGACGTCAAAGGCACCTGCAGTAGCACACCAAAAGGCAGAGGAAGATACACAAAAAGTTGGACTTCTGGACAAGCTAAAGGAGGATAGAAGTTACCGTATTTTTCGGACCATAAAGCTCACCGGATTATAAAGTGCATTAAGCAAAAAAACAAACAAAAACCAAACAGTCAGATAAGTCAAACTTTACTCAACTCATTCTTCTTCCATTGATTCATTAATGATGAATTCTCTGGCAGCTGCTCTATTCGTATGTTCTGTACCTGAAAACAGGTTTTGATCTTTGGTTTCATTCTATAATACTGGACTTATTTTTCTACAAAGGTTTGAACTTTGTGTGAAAGTGTGTGAAAGAAGTGTGAAAATGTTCATGCCTGTCTGAGAAAAGTCTACAGAGTGTGTAGTGAGGGGTTTTACAGCCTTAAAACACCTATAATATTTGTAAAAAATAAAGATTACCAGTTTGCGAATTTTACCTATTGTGGGTCATTTTTAGAATGTGATTCCCGCGATAAACGAGGGACCGCTGTAACTGGGATTCAGTGAACACTTAAGACTTTGTCTTAAAGTCATTTCGAATTTGCACAAAGTAACTACAAATTTATGTTCCTCGGCAGCCCAACTCAGCATGACGATGACACCACAGTCGACGTTCTGGCCACCAACTCAACATCAGAAAACCAGGACCTGCGAACTGAAGAAGATGCTAGTGACAGCGAAGTTAACTCCAGTGATGGCATGAATGAAGATGAGATGTTGGATGGAGACGATGACTGGAAACCTGATCCCAAGCCGCAACTGCCAAAAAGAAAAAAAGAAAAACAAACAAAAAAGAAGCAAGTAGCCAAGTGTTGGATAAAGAGGTTTAAGGGTAAAGTTTCCTGTAAAGTTTGTGGAGTTGGGTACACTCACCTGGCCAGTTTGATGAGACACATCTGGAGTCACGTGGATGAGCCGCAGAGTGTTTGTGGAGTTTGTGGAAAGACTTTGGACTCTGTGGAAAAGTTGAAGGACCATCTTCAAAATTACCAAAAAACTTACAAGTGTTCAATTTGCGGGAAGTCTTTCTACTCCAGAAACAGCTTGCGGAGCCATGTGTCTTTTCACACAGCAAACAAGCTGTTCAAATGTAACGTTTGTAGCAAAACCTTTCCTCGAATGTCTGCCCTGAGGATTCACCGTTCGATTCATGTGCAGGAGAAACTATACCAATGTGATATATGCCCCAAATCATTTGTTCTTAAGGGACAGCTCACAGCTCACACCAAAACCCACACCAGGAAAGAGCGATACCACTGTAAGATTTGTGGTAAGTCTGTCGCTGATCGCAGGGCTTTGAGCCGACACAAGCTGACTCACACTGGTGAGCGGCAGTATTGCTGCCACGTCTGCGGAAAGCAATTCAGACTTCAATGGTCTTTGAAGACTCATGAGAAGATTCACACAGCCAGAGACCAACCCTACCTCTGCCACATCTGCTGCAAAACCTTCACGACAAATCAGACCCTGAAGGCTCACCTGAAGACGCACAGCAACGAGAAGCCTTTTGTCTGCGTCACATGCAATAAAGGTTTTGTGAGCAACGGCGAACTAAAGAAACACTTGCGAGTGCACAGCGGTGAGGCTCCATACGGCTGCACCATATGTGGACGTTTTTTTAAACAAAGGGCTGCCCTAAACTCCCACGTCAAGATCCATGCGGGCATCAAACAGTTTGTGTGTGAGATCTGTGGGAAGGCGTGCTCTCGCAAGGCACACCTGAAGATTCACATGAGGATCCACAATGGAGAGAGACCGTATCAGTGCACATTATGTGAGAAAGCCTTCACTCAGAGCCACTGTTTAAAATCGCACATGAAAACCCACCAGCCCGAAGAACACAAGTCCGCCACTCAGTCCACGCTCTAAGAGACATTTTAGCGCAGGGTCTTAAAAATCAGTCAGTTAAACATTTTAGTTTCCCAAGTTCATGTGCTACAACCTTTTATATTTGTTTGTTTTCTTAAGTCAAAAAAGTATGGAAGTGTTAACAAATTTTTCAGACTATTTTTGGATAGTTAAATGTAAATGTGATTATGATGGCCTCACTATGGTGAGTTTTCCCTGAAAAGGAAAAATTCTGTGTATTAACAAAAAACGAGTGACTTATTCAGTTATTGATTATTTCTTTTGGAGATTATTTCGTTTTTTTTTTTTTTTTTTACCAAATATGTAGATGAACATTTTAATTTTCCTTTTTCAACTTGTGTTACTTGACACTGTCGACTAAGGTGGAGTCAAAAAAGTAGTTTATGTTCTTCTGTTGAGCAAATCCTCAACTCTAGACTTTCTATCCATAAAAAATTCTATCCATCCATCAAACCAGTTCAGACTTGTGGGTGCTGACTGGGGTCTATCCTAACTGTCAGAAGAGGAAGAGGATGGATGAATGGATAAATATAATTGTTACAGTGCCACCTTGCCTCAATTGCTGTAGTGTTAGCAATTACAGTATGATTTTTTTCCAGATGAGTCTTGTTAGATTCCGAGGTAGGCTTTGGGGTTTCACTTGTTTGGAACAGCAAAATGTTACAAATCTTACTGTGTGAACTGTGTGCTTAATTTAGATAGTAACATGCTTCCTTGAATAAAAAAATAAATAAAAAGCTTACTGGTACTGAGTTGGACCTCCTTTAGCCTTTAGAACTGCCTTAATTCGACCAGGCAGAAATTCAACAATGTGCTGGAAACATAGCTCAGAGATTTTTCTCCATATTGACATTAAAGCATCGCACAGTTCCTACAGATTTGCTGGTTGCACGAGCATGATGCAAATCTTGGATTTAGAGCATGTTCAAGAAACCAGTTTGAGATTATCTGAGCTTTGTAGCAGTGTGTGTTATCCTGCTGGAAGCACTCATTAGAACAGAATGGGGGAACTCCGTGTCCTGCAGGTTTTAGATGTCTCCTTGAACCAAATGATTCAAAATTACCTCATCAACATGTCTTGAAGTTCTACAGAGGTAATGAACTAATCATTTGGTTGGGATGTGTTGACCTAGAGTGATATCTAAAACTTGCAGGACGGGCCCTTGAGGGCTGGAGTTCCCCACCACCCTGCATTGTTCCCCCCATCCCTCAACTCTTTTTCCTGTGAACACTTTCCTGACGAGCTGCACACATCTAATGTGTTTTACCCATGTGAAAAATAACTAAATTTATTCATACACTGCATGAATATATGTTAAAATCTCAAGTGACACAAAAAGAATAATACACTACACGAGGCTATCACATCACTATCACATCACTATCACATTACCAATGCTGGCATCAGCTTTAACCTAGCCCTTGGCCTTTGGGGGGAGTTGTGCTTTCACTAAAATCTGTTTTAAACAATATGTGTTGGATATATTACTAAAACAAAAAAAATATGCCTCATTATTTCCTTTGATGGTTTCTATTGGTGATAATTTAATCGGACACATCACAGCAAAACACTTCTGACAGTTGTGCCAGCAAAGCCAGAGGGATCCTCACCCCTGACACCAACACTGAACCTGGGGGTGCCAGAGAGGGAGGAGTCAAGGGTCGTGGTGAAATACAAAAGCGGATTATATCTGAGTGTTCGTGCACAAAAATGTTCTAAATATAAATGTTTTTTATTGTTAATTGAACGTATTGTGTGGGCATTTCTGGGGCCTGCAAATGTAAATAAAAAAAAAGAGTGAAATTGAAAAAACAAAACTGTTTTCCTGTGAAAAACTAACAGTTTAATATCTTAAGGAAATACTTTTCGTCCTGTTTTGGCAGTTTCGGTTTATGAAGTAGACTGATGAAAGACAGTATTATGGCCACAGGAATAAAGAGCTCAACCAGCCCTGACTCTCAGGTGATTGAGGTTGTAGATGGTTTACAATCTGAACATTTGGGGGGTTTTGTGGGTGTAGAAGAGAAAACTATGAGGAGAGCACTGGAAGAACCTGAGGGAAGAAAATAGCTGTTTGTTGGGGGGTGGGGAGGTCGAGGGGTTTATAAACATCATGGACACGAGTTCATCTCTACAGTAGAGATGAATCACACTCAAAGACTGTCCTGCCACTCTTCTCCGTGCTAACATCTGAATTATCCACAAATCTCTAAATCTACTTTTACTTTAGGTTTCTTTCATATATTCCCTCCTTACAGTCAAGGACAGACAGATGCCCGGCATAGAGGTAAGTATTCATTCTAGTGATTATTGTTATTATTGGATTTTTAATTGAATTATATCAAAGGATATCATGGGTGTATTACCGGCTCTTTGGTCCTTATTTGGGGACTCAAAACTGTTGTACGGTAAAGTCATTGTCATAAATAGTCATATTGATATCACATAAATACAAGGTAATTTCTACAAAACTTATTAATCTAACTTCATTTTATTGTAAAGTAAAAAAATATGTTTTTTATGTTTTGAATGGTAAATTTCATCATAGTCGTCTTTTAAAATTAAGATTTTCATCTACAAATGATAACAGTTTGGTAAATAAAGATATTCATGGCAACTCAATGACTTTTAGAGCAAATATAAATGTAACTAAAATAGCAATAAAACAGTTTTAACAGATGAAAGTAAACAGAGTAAAAGTGTCAATCAAATGTAAGTGCTTATAAATCTTTGATTACCTTTTTGTGTTGACAGTTACATATTAATGATAGAGCAATAACCAGTAAATGATCATTTGTAATATATAGTGTAATGCATGCTAAGATGATAATGAAATGTACATTTATTCATTCTGACTGCCTGAGTCACTGTAAACTGTGGATTATTGATCTTATTTCAGGAGATGGGACTAAATCCAAACTCTGCAGGGCTGAGCTGTGGCGGTAAAAATCAATAAACATAGATAAAAAAAAGTAAGACCATCAAAAAATACATTTTCTGACAACATTTGAAAGTGATTTGTTTCCTTCTTCTGTTTCAGTTAAACTGCAGGCGTACGACTGGTGGCCAGCTGAGCAGCAGCAGTATCTCAATACGACCAGCAGGGGGCAAAATAACACGCCACAGACTCAAAGCACTGCTGCTGATACTGTGAGTGTTTTTATCCCCATCTGTTCACACTGTCAGGACGAGGCCTCGATTCACTTCTGATGAGATGTGTGTGTGTGTGTGTGTGTGTGTGTGTGTGTGTGTGTGTGTGTGTGTGTGTGTGTGTGTGTGTGTGTTGAAACCTTCCCTTAAAGCCAGTATGTTCCCTTTCTAACAGAATCAGTGTTAAATGCAGTCCAGGCTCGGGGGCCACTGTCCCCAGGCTGTTTTCATGTGCCTGATGTGTTGAACACAGTGTGTTCCACACATCAGGCACATGGGAAAAAGCTACAAGCTGCTGCTTTCTGTTTCTATTACGATCAAGACTGAGACACCAGGAAATTGCTGGGCAGAGATCAGCAGCCTCGAGGAAGCTGGGAGTGAAGCACCGATAATACAGAAAAGGAAATAAATGTATTCATTATACTAGTGAACATCCTGTTACCTGCCATTTAAATTAAACCATCTGTTTTCTCAACTGTAAATAAATTAATAGTACAATAAATGATTTAAAATGAACTTTTTTGGATTTGTAATCGTTCAATTTCTTTTTTTAAACTAAATGTTTGAGCCTCTCTCTTTGTCTCTCTGCAGTCCGTCCATCCTCTCGTTCCTCTCCTCCTCTACAGCGACAGACACTTCCCCTCTTCCTCTCTGTACAGCCAGCCAATCAGCGCTGCTGCTGCCCAGCAGGTCTCCGCCCAGTCCGGGCAGCACACCTGTTACCACAGCAACAGTGCTTTCAGGTGAGCTTGTGGTGGGTTACTAAAGTTGAGCAGTGCTTCTGATGGAAACCAGTGGTGTGAATGAACACTCTGTGCGCTCGTGCCTCTCGCCCTCGGCAGCAGGCAGTCTGTGAAGAAGCCTCTGAACGCCTTCATGCTCTACATGAAGGAGATGAGACACAAAGTGCTGCAGGAAGGCCAGGAGAGAGAGAGCGCCGCCATCAACCGCATCCTGGGCCGCAGGGTGAGAAGCCTGATGATGTCAGCGTGACGCAGGAGTAGGGCAACACAAACACAGTTTCAAAGGGTTTCTTTGGTTGCTGGCTGATGTAGCCCTTTTCACCATTTTTAATGTTTGATGTTTGATTTATGCAACTCTGAGTTTGTTTAATAAGCACTTCCTGTCTCTGTTCCTCAGTGGCACGCTCTGTCCCACTCCGAGCAGTCCAAATATTACGACCTGGCGCAGAAAGAGAGACTCCTCCACATGCAGCTCTACCCTGGATGGTCTGCCCGGGACAATTACGTATGTTCATTTTATTTATCAGAAATTCTCCCTTTGCATGTCTGTGCCTGAAAGCTTCTGCTTCTTTTTTTAATCTTCAGGGTAAAAGGAAGAGGAAGCAGAGCCAGCAGATATCAGGAAGCACTTCCAGGTCGGGGTTTTTTTTTATATCTGTCACTGACAGTCCAGTCATATTCATAAATATAGGACATGATGATATTTGAAGGATTTTGGAATTAATGTGAGTGAATATATGCCAAAAATTCAAAAAATGTAATACACAAAAATATAAGAATAAAATAGAACAGTGTTTTATTTCCCTTTTAAATAATAAATGTATTTATTTTATCAGTGTGTGCTCAGATATGGAGTTTTATGGGAATATTTTAACTTGCCTACACTGAGACTTTTTTAATGTACAGATCCTGATTCTCCCAGTAAAACTTTCAGTTTTATATATTTAACAGTTTTTGAGACATTTGGGAAGTGAGCTGCAGTTATTTCTAAATAAATATATTTAATGGCCAAATAAACAAATAATATTTAAATAAGATTTTTATGACACTCTTATTAATTACATACATCAGTTGGTTTTAAATTATTTTAATTTTACAATGGTTTTGTACTAATTACATTGCTTTTGTGTTATACTGAGTTTGCTTTCAGTCAGTGAGCACCTGCCTGTACATGGAAACGAATAATAAACACTGGCATTTACACACCAGGGGGCGCTGCAGAGAAGTGTTAATAATTAACCTAAAGTTTCTTTAAACTATAAAAGTGATACACTGGGGTTTAGTATGAAATAATTACTGTGAATAAACTCATAAAAGCTGAGATTTTAACCACGTGTGTAAAACTATTTTCTGTGAAATGCATACAAATCTTTTCTGTTTGTTTATTGCAGCTGGACTCTGAATGCTGGATGAGAGCTCTGAAGAGGGAAGGGGGGGGGGATAATCAGACAATGACAAACAACTACAATGTAATAAAACGGCATGCGTGACTTTTCTGTCTGCCTGTTTGTTTCTTTGGCTGTGAACTCCTCCTACACGATGAGGAGTGGTGCACAGGTATATCTTAGGTTAATCATCATAGCACCTAACTAAATGTAGTTTATCAGTATGTCAACAGCACGAACAGACCAAACAACACCACTATGGGCATGTAGCAGTAACGTTATTGTGTATGCAGGCTTATTGGTGCTACCCAAAACTTTAAAATAGTCAAAATTAAAATAAATCCTCAGATTTTTTTTAATTGAAACCCACTGAGAAAATGACTTGAATCCTTATGAAATGACTGCTCAACTTACCTACTTTTTATCTCAGCTTAAACTGTTAAGTAGTTTAATTTGTCCCAAAAAGTGGACGTAGTGTTTTCAGTGAGAGAAACGCTTTGTCAGAAGGAATAAACTTTCTGAGATTTCCTTACGTGGATGATGGTGAACATTCATCAATACACTTTCATTCGTATTTTCCAATCATAAATCTTTATCTTAAGTTATGATCGTTACACGCTAAACAATAATGTCACTAAACAAACAACCTCTGCAATCTTTTCCTGAAAGATTTATGACTTTACAGCTGATAACTGCCTAGTTCGCATATTATTAAGTTTTTATTTTAACTTAAAAGCCATGACGGTCAGAACAATTAACACTGATATCACAACACAACAACTCAGTTCTTCCTGATACTGCAATGCTGGTTTTGTGACTTACAGAGAATAAATAAATATAACAAAACTTTTTAGAACAAGTCCTAAGCCAAATCTGGATGAAAACATGATAAAAATTGAAATGACAAGCATTCACATGGAATTTACTTTCACATTTTTGACACGTCTGAGGCTTCTTTTGTTCAGTTTTGCAGCATTTTCACGAGTAACCTACAGTTTATTTAAGGTGACAGAAGAAAAGAAAAAATACAGCTGACAAACAGTTAATGATTCTGAAAGTTGGCCAAAAGAAAGTGGACATTTAAGGATGTGGGTCTTAAAGAGACAGGAGCTTTTTTTTCCTCCAGAGAAGATGTATATGTGAATTGTATGTAGTAGTTCATCTTTAAAACAGAAATATGTAACCATAGTAAACAGTTCTGTGCTCAAAATAAGTCTTTTATTATCAAAGCAAACATGTGATTGTGGCAGTGTGTTCAAGTCAACATTGGCAAAATGTGAAGAAACACGTTTATAAAACTGTGGAGCTTTCTGGCACAACGACCTTCATTATTAATGCTAGGTACATTAGGTAGAATCAAAGTTTGCAGTAAGGTTTTCTTTCACTGATTGATATGGCATTTAAAACAAAAAAAACAAAAAACAAACACCCACCATTAACTCAGTGCCTTAACACTTAACATTCGGACTTGAAAATATAACTTAAACAACAACAACAACAACAACAATCAAGAACATAAAGCTACAAAAACAAATTAATTGACACTGATGAGGACCCACCTGGAGCTAGCACTGAGAATTTGAAGTCAAACCACTTTAAACCACCACAGCCAGAAGGAACTGTAATACTTAAGGGTTTAGTTTACTTTGTGGGAGGTTGCACATCCAGAAACAACAACACGGCTAGTTTAGATTTAGTCTTTTTTTACCATTTGAATGTGCAGCTTCATTTTCCTTAAGTATATCCCAAAGATATAATTAGCACAGTTAGCAACAATCCAGACTGAAAAATACAACACAGCTTAGAAGTTTAGCTTTGGCACCACTCTCAGACTAGCTTACAAAAAAAATAGTGTCTTTTCTTGTTGGCAGGTTTACGTCATGGATTCTGAAGACATTAAAAATGTTGTTTCTGATAAAGAGCAAGAGCTAATAATGTAAACGCACCGTCTCTTCCTCCTGCGAGTCCTCAGTACAAAAATGCTGATTCCAATAAATAACCTGAAGGTAGAGTCTCATGTCCACCTCTGTCCATCCGTCCTCTTCAGGAGTCAGGGAGGACAGATGCTGCTGTCATCAGGTGACTTATCTCCCCTCCTCTTTGTCCTCACTTAACTATCATACCTGTCCACTATACTGTATCTCCGTCTGCATGAGGTAGTAGGGATGGGCACCGGCCACCCAAACTCAACGGGAACAGTAGCCTTGACGTTCCCTTCCAGGAATTTGAAGATCCGGTTCCACCAGGTTCTAGTCAGGTACTTGTTGGGTTCCTGATTGTGTACCTGACAGAGCACCACAAGTTAGAAAAGAAGAAACAGTTGTTGTTTTCAGTCAATTTTGAAGTCACTCAGATTTGAACTTGTCCGAGATTTTTAGTAGATGCAGCTATGCTATGAGTTTAAAACTCTTTATGTATCTTTATCTTAATGTAATAATACCTGACACAGTGAAATAACAATAGGCCAAAACAAGATGGCCCAACACAAACACATTCCAAACAAAAAGTGTATACAAAAATGTATAACAAATTATATATACTATGTCCTATCGGCCTTCTCATTTAAATTGATTCCTCCATTTCAAATGCTTTCGTTATTCCTGCAAGTGTTTCGTGCTTCATGACTAACATTTTGTTGCCTGCCCATCATGCTGCTGCTGCTTCTCTATTTGTTATGGAGGTGTGTTGGTTTAAAAATGAGATTGTATGTTTTCATCTGGTCTTGTCTGACTAATTGAAGCAGCTGAAAGAATCCTAAAACCCCAGAACACTGAATAAAGCCAGGAGATGGTGTTACGAGGCCATAACTCAGTGTGTGTCTACTCACATGTGATTCCAGCATGGCGTAGTACCACCGGAAGGTCCAGTTGACGACAAAGTATGCAACCACCACATCGATGCTGTAGTGTTCATGGCCGAGGAGGATGCAGATGAGTCCAAATATGCTCAGGAAAAAGCAGAACCAACGATACCACCAGAACCTGGGCGGGCAGTCTGAACACAAACAGGGAATACTAATAAAGCAACATGCACAAATTAGTTTCATACTACGGCTAAGTAGTAAAATCAGGGTAATGTGAAGTTAAGAGTTTATTCGTGATAAGTTGCATATCAATGTGTGTGATCATGTAAAAATAAATAGGTGTGTGGTTACTCACACTCCTTGATGAAGAGGTAGGACAGCCTCAGCATGATGGTGTGACCGCTGTACAAATAGTCTCCACACAAGATGTGAGAGCCGGTCACATTCAAACCTGAAGACACAAAGAAATGCAGCGTTTTATGTTAAATAATTATCACATCCATCCATCCATTTCCGCTTATCCTTTTCAGGGTCCCGGGGGGCGCTGGAGCCTATCCCAGCTGTCATAGGGCGAAAGGCAGGGTACACCCTGGACAGGTCGCCAGTCTGTCGCAGGGCTAACACATAGAGACAGACAACCATTCACACTCACATTCACTCGCACATTCACACCTAGTGACAATTTGGATTATCCAATTAACCTATCCCCACAAGCTGCATGTCTTTGGACGGTGGGAGGAAGCCGGAGTACCCGGAGAGAACCCACGCAAACACGGGGAGAACATGCAAACTCCACACAGAAAGACCCCGGCCTGATGTTGGAATTGAACTCAGGACCTTCTTGCTGTGCGGCAACAGTGCTAACCACCGTGCCACCGTGCTGCCCCGTTAAATTATTATATTATATTATATTCATTCATTCATTTCACGTGATTAAGAACGATGCAGAACTTTTAAAGAAACTCTGCACATTAATGTTGAGTGGACTCGTTTTCTAATGTAACCTTAGCTGATGTTGATAATTGTTGGTGGTGGGAACGAGGCTCCCTGGTGTGAGTGAGCATAAATGTTACATCAGTACTCCTTCTGCATGAATAAAACCCACTGATGATCAATCTCAGATGCCCTAATCTCCGCTGTGTATGCCACAGTGCAATGCAGCAGTGTCCGGTGCTTGAATACACTAGTGTTTCCTGTGAGTCAGTGTTCAGCTACAAGCCAAATACTAAACACTTACTGTACATATTTTATAAATCTAGTTTTACCTCCTCCTGAGACCATCCGGATAATCCGCCACATTTTCTCCGTCACATTGTCGTAGAGCTGCATGGACAGGACAAACGATCTTTAACTGAAGAAGGGCGACTAGTGAACAGGTGAGTGTACTTAGGTGCACCTTTACATACCTTTGGAGCGCACTCTAAGTGTTTTCCAGGTACTGGCAGGGTGGTGATGTACATGGTGATGCAGCGATAAAGGTAGAGCGTTGCAATCATGAAGAAACACCGCCGAGCCACGATCGCTCTGCAGACAATAACATAAAAGTGTTTTTTCAGTGAGATTCCAATCCGTGTGTCAAAGGACAGTTTGGCAAGAAACTGAACCCCATTCACAGCTGAATGAGACAAAGCACTAAGTAACCCCGGGGACAACTGGGGGAACACTGTATATAAGAACCAGTCCATTTATTAAGTACTGCAAAAAGCTGAGGGAGAAATAAAATTGACTACAACAGAGAGTGGGGACCCAAGATGGAAAACTCCCAGCATTTTATGTGTTTCTAACACAATCACGAGGTAATTAAACATAATTCACTAGCATAACCAGAGATGCTGACAATAACAACAAGTTAGGAATTAGTGACGTGCCTTTGCCACAGATCAAAACACCTTTGCGATCAGAAGATGTGGGAAAACTTTCTCTGTCGGAAAAATCCCTGTAGTGATTGTTAAATGCACTGGAGCATGCCTCACTAACGCTCCGTCAACTACAATTAAACCACGTAATGCATGACACTGTGAAACTCGTGCTCTGCAAGAATGTGAGTTTAAAAGATCACACTGACGTTTACTCCATAAGGGAGGGGAATTGGGCTTGGGTGCAGTACAAGTGTTAGTACACCTTCAATCCTTAGTATTACCTGTGTTTAAGTGCCAGCCACTGGACGAGCCACAATCCACAGAGAGTCAAGCCACAGGCCTCTGTTGCTTTGAAGGCCCAGGGCACTCTGTCAATGTAGTCGAAGAACTTGTCAGGAAGCGGCGGAATCACAGATTTGTCAGGCACCCGTTCATGGATGATAACGATTATGACAGCGTTGAAGACGAGGGCGAAGAAGGCGTAGATAAAGGACACACCCGTTTTCCACCACTCTTTAGGGAGAGGGTCGTCTGACTCCTTGGTGATCTTGTCGTAGTTGCAGCGTTGCTGTATCTTGTTGCACAGCGAGTTTATCAGCTGGTTCTCTTTCAGCACTTCAGTAATTTTTCTGCGCCTGCCTTTGCCGTCACCATCGAGAACATCCTCAGAATGAGGTGCCCGGGAGATGTGGTGAGTATGGTTGGGCACCTTCGTAGACTGAGGAGGTGAAGGCGGATCTGTCGAAATCACCTCTATGCAGTTTTTATCATCTTCCTGGATCAGTTCTGATGCTGCCATTGAAGTCTTTGGCAAATAAGTTCTTTGATTTATGTGAAAAAGTTTAATGAGTTCTTTGATCACTCACAAGAGTGAGCTTCTGTGTCAATAATGAAGAAGTCCGACTGTCAGCAGCGATTGAGCTCCTTGGTCTGCAAACCATTTGGTATTAACGACAGAGCAGCGATCTTCAGTATTTGCAGTGACGTCACAGAGAAAGCAGGTGACCGGCATAAACCTGAAAAAAAGAAGACCATGAGTAAAAAAATAACTACAACTACAACTCTGTTATGAGTTATCAGTAAGGATCTTATATAGACTCGCATTAGTACACCTACATAACCCAAACAGTTTCACTACGTCATACATCTGCAGTGAAATAACGTACGTTACAAAAACAGAAACTAAGATAGACATTGCATGTTGAGCGTGTCAGAATCAGATTACATTAGAGTTTAGATAACAATAATCAGATGAACTTACAGCATCTGCCCTTCTCATCCATCAGATAAAGTTTTTGAGCTGAATCTTCAGGAACAACGATGATTTTCAAGAACTCTCCTTTCACTCACTGAGTGTCACACTACACCTGCAGTGTGGGTTTGTCTTATATTAGCGGCATCACCATTAGCCCAGATCTTTACTAAACTGCATAAAGTGCAAATTGTACTTTTTCATTAGACCTACTCCATAACCTCAGCCCAGAAACCGGTCTTGTATTGACACTACAAATTTCTCTCTGCTTCTTTTTCTGCTGCCATTTCTCAAATCGACTGGAAGTGCACGGATCAACTTAAAAAGACGAACTCCGCTGCCAGTTCTTGCTTTGGTGGTGAAATTGAAATAGTCACACTGGCAACACTATCAGCTGCTTGTGTGGAGGATCTACATGTGTTCAACACAGAAGTACAGATTAATCTTTAAATGCATTGTTGTACAACACAGGTACTCATTCTGGTCTCCCTTACAACTCAAGTCCCCAAAATACTGGTAATACCAGCTCGCACACTATCATGTAACTCTCTTAAAAGCAGACCTTTACCATCCATCCATCCATCCATCCATCCAACCTTTTTCTGTTTATCCATTTCAGGGTCACAGCAAGTCCTTCTGGTCCCTCTTAGGACATTAAGTCCTCACAGAGTGACTGTAGACAGACTTACGTCCCCACAATGTCAGTAATACTGGTATACACACACCTACACCCGGAAGCCCACATGACTCCAGAGAATTTGGCCTTTAGTAACCTGAGGATGACACTCCCTGCAAAGCCAACACGCCCACACAAACACAGTGTGTGAACCCACAGCTGCTGACACGTTCTGACAGCATGCCACCTGGGACAGACACCGCCATTTCAAGTCTTCACCTTCAGGATCAGTATCTGCTGATAATGTGCTGATAAACCTCCCACGCCCTTCCTCGTTCAAGAAGCAAGGCGTGGTTTGACAAATAACAAAATGATCATTAAACTTCAGTTTAAAAACATAAAAACTGGGCCAGCATTAGAAACGAACATGACTATTCAATGAATGCAAGTTCATAGTTTGATACTGACTTACATGTTATTTGAAATTATAAGGATTTATTCATCGACTTCTAAAATAAAATGTGCACTTGTAAACCCACTGCTGATAAATTCCTCCTGAGTGTGTTGCCTTTCTACCAACACTTCACACAGGAGTGCATGTCTGACATCACCTGTGTGTGAGCATCGCCATGTGAATGTTTTCTAACCAGTCTCACCCGACAGAATTACTCAGGCAAGACGTTTCCATGAAAATAAACTGTTCACAGCTGTATGAAAGATGCTAAATGATAACTAGTTAGTTTTAAGCTTCTTCTTCTTTTTTCCCCCTAATATACGCTCACAAAAAAAACCCCCACAAACAAACTGTTTAGTTTGTTTGTTGTTGTATTTTAAATAAGCTCTTTAATTGTAGATTTTTGTGTCTGAAACTGGTCTCTCCTGTCAATGAGACAGCCTCAATAGGTTTATCCTATAAATAAAGGTTAAATAAAAAATTCTATTTCACAGTTTACTTTCACAAAAAACTATAGTTTTTAACAAAATCATGAAGATTTGTATTCACTGGTGCCAAATCGAACAAATCTTCAGAAATAAACATACTATTTCATATAAAAATCTCTAAAAATGGATCAAATATAAGTCTTCAGTTGGATTAAAATTAGGAATTTGATCAGAAGCCATTTGAAAAATAAAGGTTTATAAACATTAAACCTAAACCTTGGCTGTACAAACTTAAATTTAGGTCTATAACCTGAACTTACTTCTTTAGTCACTTATTACACAGAAAACTGTATGAAAAATAAGATAAGACACTATATACTTTATGTAACCTTCCATGGATGTTCCTGTCTTACAGCAATATAAGAATACCTTAAATTAAGTGGAATAGAAGTAGATAAAATACAATACGGAGGAAAATAAAAACATCAGTAGCTCCAAAAGTAAAGATTTCTATGAAATTACCAGAAAAGTTGAACTTTTTTTTTTAGAAAAAAAAGTAGTAAAGTAGAAAAAGTTGAATATAATACAATAAAGTGATTCTATAAAGTGACTATAGCTGTCATTGTAGTTTCTAGGTCCGCAGCCCCAGTTAGCAGCTGGTGGCACTGTAACATATTTGAACTGATAACTGTGTTTATAGAATACATTTAACTGTGTAGCACTTCTGTCACCAACCAGCAAGATTTAAGCATCCAGTCGAACATCCCACACCCCTGATACTTTTAGGGAACCAATCATGTTGCGAAAAACAAAAACCCTAAAGAAAAAAAAGAGTAACTCTGTCCCTACGAACAGCAAATACAGAAAAATCCAAATAACTACCTTTTCATACTTTGTCCCAAACACAACTCCTGCTGCCCACCATCAGCTGCTCTGCCCTGAATGAACCTTTATTTGCTTTTCTGCTCCCGTTTGGTTTCATTTTAGCGTCATTGTGTCAAAAGCTCCACTTTCTGCCCTGAACTGGCAGAAAAGTGGCCTCTGCTCAGCTACCAAGCTACATCCTGTTTACAGAGCAGCAGAAACGAAGTCTAATCGAGTTACAGGCATGAGAATTCAATTTCACCAAGTTAGAGCTGATTCATTAACCCAGGACACACGAGTTTTACACTGCTGCAAAGCGCCCAACTTACCTCACTGAGATAGTAAGATAAGGAATATTTTTCATTATTATTCATTATTATTATTATTTCATTATCTTTCACTCACCAGAGAATGTGTTTAGCCAAAAAAAAAGCACAAATTCAGTCACAAGGATTTAAAACAGAACCAATGGTCACACTGTGAGAAGAGCAGGCTTCATAACAGCCTATGTACTCACTGAAATGTCAAATGAGTAAACTTACCATCGTTTAAACAAATAAAAGTAACACAAATACGTAATATTGTAATATAGTGTTATAGAAAACACATAAATAACCTCATTAAAGTGCTGGAACTGATAAATACAGTCACATTTCTATCAGACTTATTTGTCTGACCAGCTGATTAATGATTCACTTGTTTTTAGAGCAACATAATGTTTACAGTCACTGGCCACTTTTTTTTTTTTTTTTTAGGTACACCTGATAAATTGCTCATGACTTTGAATGTGACATTGCTGTTTATGCAAGATGGGCTGATCTGCTGGGATTTTCACACATTTAGCATTTATGAATGCATGCAACATGTGGAACCTTGAAGAAGATAGGCTGCAGCAGCAGAAAACCACACAGGGCACCGCTCCTGTCAGCTAAGAACGGGAATCTGAGGCTAGTTTTCGATGGTACGGTCGGAATATGGCGTGAACAACAGGAAAGCGTGGACCCATCCAGCCTTATATCAACAGTTTAGGCTCCTAATGGTGTGACTTGGTATGGGGCACAGCTTGCTTGGCACACTTTGGGCCCCTTATAATCCAATGAGCATCATGTAAACACTTACCTGACCATGTCCATCCTTTTATGACGATGGCTGCTTCCAGCAGGATAACACACTGTGTTACAAAGCTTAAATCATCTCAAACTGCTTTCATTCAAACTCACTGTACTCAGATGGTCTGCACAATTACCAGATCTCCATCTAACAGAGCACCTTTGGGATGTGCAGCCAAATAAATCTGCACCAACTATGTGAAGCTAAATGTCCTCCTTGAATCTGTGCCACAAGGAACTTATGGCAAAAAGGAGTCCAGCCTGGTATCTGTTAAAGTGGCTAGAGAGACAAAGCTGGAAGTATTGTACTGATACCTGCCAATTAATCCTTTATACCAGCTGAATTAAACACAATGAAAACACATCTAATATGCAAGCATTGAATCAAAGACTCAACAGAAAGGCAGGAATGACATGTTTAAAAATGTGCCACAAAACAGCAAACAGCCACGAACTTTGAGTTAACTTTCTGCTAATTAATGACTTATTAGCCAATCAACAACTGATCGATTAATTAGCCTGAAAATCCCATTAGCACAACATTAACAAAAGTAAGAAGGAAGTAATTTTAAGCTTTACTTTGATAAACAGAAGTTAAAATTAGTTCACGTTAAATAATTTCCAGCAACTAAAAACAAACGTTTCGTGACTCTTTGACGAGTCTGATATCGATTAACTGGCTTATCATTTAAAAGGTGTTTGAACCCCACTCTCTGATAGAACAAGTACAAATTCACACAAAATAAATGGTGTGAACATGTCAAAACCGTGAAAACCTACTCCGATTTAACGTTAAAAGTTACATTTCGTGTCCACAGCTTCGGTAAGCCAGTGTACGTCTCACATTTTAACTGGTGCAACGTAAACAGGAACTCAAACACACCTGTCGGAAGGTGCACGCGCGTTTCCCGTTCGTTTTAGGTATAAAACAGGTTAAAACAATTGTTAAAAAAGTTTTAACAAAAGAAAAACAAAACTTCAGTTTGTGCGCGCGAAGACGGACAAAAACAAGACTACCTTTTTGTCACCTTTCCTTCCACTTTTTCACCTCCTCCTGTTCCTCCTCTTCCGTCTCCTGGTTAAGTGACACCAAGGTTCATCTGCACGAGCCTCTCCGTGCTGGTGAGAAACTGCGCCCCGCCTCCACATGTCCCTCGTTTGACTCCAAATATGGTGATGCTGCTTCCGCCTGCATCGCGAAACCGTCCGCTGACTCAACTCGAAACGGGCCGTGACTCACCTGAGATCGACTTCTCTCGCGGGACCTTCCGTCAAACGGAGAGACGGATGTACGGAAGCTCGTTTTTACCAGAAAAGTTACAAATAATAAAACTAAAAATAAACATTTACAGCTTGACAGAATCAAAGTTGTGATGATGAGACAAAGAATGAGGCTACCAATGAAACATTTTTCATTTCCTAATTAGGTAATGAATGAAGGCGATATTAGTCTAAGTGATGTCAGCATTCCTAACACCTCAGGTATGCAGGTAAAGAAACAAAAGCCGGTCATGGCAGAAAAACAAACATTTAATTCACTGAGTCACTTTTAATCTTGAAGTCAATGATTAAACAATGTAGGCAAAAAAAGGACTATTTATAGGTTTTATTTTTATAAGTATTAATCGTATATGAATAAATTGACATTGCTATTATTTTAATATAAATCTTTTACACTAATATGTTTTCTGCATGTATTTGGACCAAATTAATACCATAAATCAGAGATGTTAAGCAAATTTTACATCTCTGCCCACATACAGCTGGGGGAGGGCAGACACATTTACATCTGTGATATCTTAATATAAAAACGTTAAAGAAATGCTCCTTTAGATAATGAAACAAAATCTCTCACTGTGACTTTTTTTAGCTTAAGTTTGTAAGAATTTGTAAATTACAGAAAAATTTCTGGTAGGTCACAGACACTTTCTGTTAATAAACCTTTTTATGTGTACTCATTGCAAAACCAGTCAACTGTTAGAAACAGTTGCAGAGTGTGCTCTGCAGTTGTTTAGGAATGTGTACGAATAGCCACGGGGAGGTCTTTGAAAAGCTTTAAAATATGAAATCACAGTTAAAAGCCCAAAATGTGTCTACCTTTACGCTTTCAAAAGCTTCCGGTGGGCCTGAGTGGAGTGTGGTCGAGTCTGGCATCTGGGCTTTATGTATGACACCCTGCCTTAAGTAAATCAGTTTTAAAATATGCATTCAAAAATGAAACATTTTAAAAGTTAGAGGCATATAAATGATAAATACGTCAAAAACACACACATATAATAGGAAAAAAATGTGGATATGGACAATAAGCTAAACTTCGTAAAATTCACAAAAACAATTTGTGAACTGATTAAAGTATTTAGTCAACTCATTTTATTCAGCACATCTAAACAGCAAACACCAAAGTGATGTACAGCATGTAAATATATCAAAATCAATTCATAAAACGATAATCCACAAATTAAAGATGCAAAGATACAAATGAAGTGTTAAGTGCTATCTAATGACAAATAAAAATAAAACTAAAAAAATCAATAAAAAGACTCATTTGAAAAGAGCCATGTTTTAAGCCTGCTCTTAAATACTGTTAGTGAGTGAGGTAAGTGACATATCTGAACAGCAAGACACTAAAAACTGAGAATGCTCGCTCAGTTGTACGAGTCAGTTGTATGTGTCAGTCGGGACTCTGCAATTAGTAACAACCTCACCGAGGGGTGTGAGACACTGCACTGTAAGAGATCTGATAAATATTCTGGAGCATACCCAAGCAAGCACTTACATGTGAGTAACCATGTTTTAAAATAGACCTCGTACGTCACAGGATGCAAGTGTAACGACATAAAAACAGGCCAATGAAATTATTGTTTTTGTTATTATTATAATTATCATTGTTAGTGTTTTATTATTGAAATTGTCTCATTTCTCGTTGGGTTGTAATACCAGATGGTTCCACCAGAGCGAGCTCACTGTCGACTAAAACCAAACACACTGAACTGAATCAGATCCTCTCAGTATATACACAGTGACCACAGGGCCAGCTGTTAGAGTTAATATGTTTGTATCTGGAGGTTATTGTCATGGTCCTGAGTCTGAGGACTCAGTGTTTTTGTCATGGTCCTGAGTCTGAGGACTCAGTGTTTTGTGTTTCTTTATGCTTTTGTTCATTCCGAGTGTGTATTCTGTTGTGATTTTGCCATTTGTTAGGTTTCTGTTCTTTGCCTGCCTGCTCCCACTTCTCTGTGTTCCCTCTGTCTGTCCATGGTGTTATTGTGTCTGCTCGTGAGTCTGCCTGTCAAGTTCAGTGTCCTGTCTGGTTCTCTGTGTCTGTTAGTTTCCTGTTTTATTCTGAAAGTTCATGTCTCATGTCAGTGTGTTCAGTTTTACCTCTCCCCTGTCTCGTTAGCCTAATTGCTCCCAGCTGTGTCTCCCTCCTGTGGCCCATTCCCTGATTACTCCCCGTGTATTTAAGCCCTGTGTTTTCCTGTGCTCTCTGCCGCATCGTCTGTTTAACTCCATGTCCGTTTGCCTAATTCTGTGTAACCCAGTGTTCAGTCTGCGTCTCTCCGCCAGCTTTCTTTGTGCATTTTGTTCCTCCTCCCGTGCGTGTTTGGTTTAAGTTGAGCTCTTTAGTTTTCCCCAGTTTAGGTTTGTTTACTCCCTGCTCTGCTCCTCCTGTTTTTGTCACCTTATCACCTCTGTAAATAAACATTCACTTGCACCCCAGCCAGTGCCTGCATTTTGGATCCTTTTCTCAATTCACCACACGACTGCTGCGCAGCCGTGACAGTACAACGCGACAGAGAGCACAGGAAAACACAGGGCTTAAATACACGGGGAGTAATCAGGGAATGGGCCACAGGAGGGAGACACAGCTGGGAGCAATTAGGCTAACGAGACAGGGGAGAGGTAAAACTGAACACACTGACATGAGACATGAACTTTCAGAATAAAACAGGAAACTAACAGACACAGAGAACCAGACAGGACACTGAACTTGACAGGCAGACTCATGAGCAGACACAATAACACCATGGACAGACAGAGGGAACACAGAGAAGTGGGAGCAGGCAGGCAAAGAACAGAAACCTAAGAAATAGCAAAATCACAACAGAATACACACTCGGAATGAACAAAAGCATAAGGAAACACAAAACACTGAGTCCTCAGACTCAGGACCATGACAGTTATGTTTCAGCAAATGGGAGATCATTTGCAAAAAAAAGTCAAAATTATCCTATTAATACACATTATGGACATGAATTTTGAGGCTGGTGCTTATTTTAAAGTAAAATAAATTAAAGAATATGAAATAAACCCTGATATTGATGTTTTGTCTGCAATCCAAACACGCATTTCGACTTGAAGTCCTTTAAGTAGTTATTTTGTTTTTAACCCCATCTAGTGGAGAAAAGTGGAATTACAACACTGCAACTTCTAATATCGAAATATTTTTCTTCAGCATTGCTGTAAATAAAAGTGATGGTCATCGAAAGAAATATAAAAGCTCCATCAGTATTTTTACATTATTGTAATGAATGGTTTATTGCTATTATTCAGTGTTTTAAGTTTACAGAAGTATGTATCTTCTAACCACACTGCTATTTCTGGAGAAATTGTAGTGGGATTGTTGCTAATGTCAGAGGAAAGGACATTGGCTGCCAAGATTCTGTGATGTCATCAATTAAAGGAATCTAAAGTCTAATAAGTCTAAGAAGATTATCGTTACTATGTATCTGTTGCTATGCATCTGTTACTAAGAGCAGTAGTCCCCAACCTTTTTTGTGCCACAGACTGGTTTATGTCTGACAATATTTTCACAGACTGGCCTATAAGGTGTCGCGGATAAATACAACAAAATAAAACCAGTACCAGTACCAAAAAAGAAGATCTGTGGCCCGGGGGTTGGGGACCGCTGAACATTCCAGTCCTTGAACTGAACGACAGGTGTTTTTTCTGTTTTTCTGTTTCTTTTCTTCTTCTTCTTCTGCTCCTCCTGCATTTGTCCTTTAGCTATTAGTTGGGTAAGGAAGATGTCCTCGAAACCAATACGCTGCTGTAGGTGCTGCTGGATTTTGGACCTCATTCATGATTTGCTTTCACTTCCTGTGATTGGGGGCTATGATGTGGGCTTCCTCGATAGAAGGTACTACTTTTTTTTTAAAAGTCTTCCTTCATGTGGACTCTTCACGTTTTCTTTGGCGGAAAGCATTACACCTTCCACTGGGCTAGTCTTGATCCAATTTCCATAAATTTGTCATACGTTGCCAAACCATCAAAGTCATCGTCGCTGTGTTTGTTTTACAACTGGCGACTGGTCATTAGATCGGGGGCTACCTTCTCATTTCTTAGGTGGTCTAGAAAGGGACACCCTAAGAATTTGCTTGAAGGGAACGCTTTCGGAACACCTCCAATTTGCTAATGTCGGTTTTGAGAAAGGTCCATGTCTCAGATTAATGCAGATGGATGGATAGATGAGGTGAATCTTGGGGGCCACACATTACTGTTCTTCTAAACATACAGATGCAAATTGACCCAGAAGGGTTCATACCCTTTTCACACATTCATACGTCGATGTATATTGTAATAACATTGTTATTGTGAATTTTTTTATTGTGAGCCACAACAACCTTGTGACAGCCATGCTTTATATTTAAATGTGTAGTTGAAATTGTGACAAAACACACATTTTTACAATTCATAATCTTCAAAGTCAGTGTGTCTGAGATCAACATCAGACATGAAAACACCTGAAGTGTTTCAAAACTGTACAGTACTTGCCTGTAAATGTAACCTCCAGTCATTTCTTCCTCTCGGGTCTTGTGGGATTTAAATAGGGAGGTGTTTGACCTTTCACCTCCAGCTGGAGATGGAAGCTGACAGCTGACACACAGCATATCAGAGGCGAACACACACTCTCGGTGAGCTTCTGTCTGTGAGCGGCTGGCTGACCAACAACATCCTGCAGCATGGACAACACCGACAACCTGTTTCACCCCAGGTACGAACACCTG